GGCAGCTTCTGCTTGGCCATGGCCAGCGAGTAGTACATGCCGAAGTTGTTGACGATGACGGGCACGGGCATGGCGATGGTGAGCACCCCGGCCAGGGCGCACAGGGCGCCCACCAGCATGCCCGACCACGTCATGGGGTACATGTCGCCGTAGCCCAGCGTGGTCATGGTGACCACGGCCCACCAGAACCCGATGGGGATGTTCTTGAAGTAGGTGTGGCGGCTGCCCGTGACGTCGTCGGGGTCGGCGCCGATGCGCTCGGCGTAGTAGATCATGGTGGCGAAGATGAGCACCCCCAGGGCCAGGAAGATGACCAGGAGCAGGAACTCGTTGGTGCTGGCGCGCAGGGTGTGGCCCAGCACCCGCAGGCCCACGAAGTGCCGCGTCAGCTTGAAGATCCGCAGGATGCGCACGAACCTCACCACCCGCAGGAAGCCCAGCACGTCCTTGGCCGCCTTGGAGGAGAGGCCGCGCAGCCCCACCTGCAGCGAGGGGTCGCGGGAGTTTGGGGTTCCGCCTGGGCCTTCCCTGGCGACCGGTTTGTAGCCAAGGAAGGGCCCAGATTTACCCGGGATTCCCGATGATTTTTATGTAAGCTGGGGTGTAAGAGGAAAGGAGGAGAGGCCTTCGCTCTCTTTCCTTCCGGCGGCTTTGGAGGTGGGGGTTCCCCGCTCTTGAGGCTGTCGGGTTGAGGAGCGAGGCCTAGTGAGGCCTAGTGAGGCGTGGTGAGGCCTGGTGAGGCCTAGTGAGGCCTAGTGAGGCCTGGTGAGGCCTGGTGAGGCCTAGTTAACACCTTGTGAGGCCTAGTGAGGCCTAGTGAGGCCTGGTGAGGCCTGGTGAGGCCTGGTGAGGCCTGGTGAGGCCTGGTGAGGCCTGGTGAGGCCTAGTTAACACCTTGTAGGTTTTAGTTCGAACCGGTGGAATTATTCCCAGAGCGTGACATGTTGGGTCCTCCATGTGGGAACGTGCCCAGATCTGTGGGTGGCTTGGCTGAGGTTGCATGTGTGATAAACTGAGAAAATTATTCGAGCTAATTAAGAGAAAACAGTGTAAGGTCAATGTGACCTGGAGAGAAAAGAAAAGCAAGTCGTAAAACTTAACTGGGCCCCTATAAAGAGATAAAACAAGTCACCTCCCTTTTACCTTGTGTAGGATTTATAATGAGAGAATTTTCTTCAGTTAGCTAGATAATAGCACCTTTCTTAAAATTTATAACTTTGCATAGATAACAAGCGAACATCTGCTGAAAGTCTGATTTAACAATATATTATGGATGCTTACAGACAACATTCTTGTTAAGAAATATCTGTGGAATGTCTGACCTAACAATGTGTAATGTTTATACTCATGTACCTAACAATGTGTAATGTTTATACTTATGTATAATGAATATTCATGTAGTAGCTGGAAATAAATGTAGAACAAATGGGTTTTTTTAGGTGTGACAGGCGTTGGGAGTTGTTCAACCCCTTCCCTGATCACCCAGCGCTGAAGTTGCTTTTATCATATAATAAAATTCTGCTTGGAAATTGCCCCACTGGGTTTCTATTTCTCACACATGGGAGAAGACACACAAAATTGATGCGTTTTGGACATTCCTGTTACGTCAGAAATTCCTACGTGCACAGTATGTCTGAAGTGGAAAATAATTCAATGCAAAGTAATACAGACTTTGCTGGAAGAACATTTTAGGAGTGCTGGTTAATGTCATGTCCTGTTCTGCTCACTGGAACAAAGGCCTTGGTAAAGAAAGAATAGGAGTAGCACACACAGAATAATAAATTAAGTAAACTAGAGGTTTGAATAAGATTTAGAAGGCCCAGAGCCAGGATTTTGCAAGTTTGAAGAATTCAGGTCACCTCATTGAAGAGGTCAAATTAAGGAAGATGTCCATGACAACCACCAAAGGGATGAAGGCTTGAGGAGAAGACTCCCAGTTTAAACTGTTCAAATAAACCCTACCTATATATGTTTAAACTGTTAAAATAAACCCTACCTATATAGGTGTAAACTGTCAAAATAAACCCTACCTGTATATGTTTAAACTGTTAAAATAAACCCTACCTGTATATGTTTAAATTGTTAAAATAAACCCTAACTGCATATGTTTAATTTATTAAAATAAACCCTAACTGCATATGTTTAAATTATTAAAATAAACCCTACCTGTATATGTTTAAATTGTCAAAATAAACCCTACCTATATATCTTTAAACTGTTAAACTAAACCCTACTTATATATATTTAAATTGTTAAAATAAACCCTACCTATATATGTTTAAATTGTCAAAATAAACTCTATCTATATATTTTTAAGTTGTTAAAATAAAGCCTACCTATATATCTTTAAATTGTTAAAATAAACCCAACCTATATATGTTTAAATTGTTAAAATAAACCCTACCTATATATGTTTAAATTATTAAAATAAACCCTACGTGTATATGTTTAAACTGTTAAAATGAACCCTACCTCTATATATTTAAATATTTAATTAATATTTAAATAAACCCTACCTTGTTGTTGCTGTCCTGGAGAGGGAGTTTCATAAAGGAGAGAATAAAGGGCTTCTTGATCTCCATCTGGGAGGCTGGAAAACAGAGAGGACACCCTCTGA